CCACCTCCTACTTAAAAAAAACTTGGCACAAAGTAGGTACTCTATACACTTTTTTTAAGATTATCTTGACTAAAAAATATTATGTACATAGTATGGTGCCCATGACCTTGGACATTTGAAAGAGGTGTTTCCTATGAATAGAGAAATATCACCATATGCCAACAATGTCAAAGAGACTCATAGAAGCTGGCTGGCTGGCTAGGAGGCCAAGCGCAGACTCCACGGCGTCTACAGCCGTGCCTAAAAGGTTCCAGAGCAGAGACCTATGAGGCTTTCCAGGCTGAGCATCGGCTAAGCGCCGAAAGCCCAGTGTAAACAGAACAGTGCATTATCACAAGTTAGAACGTTAGCTGGCTGATACGGTATGTACGAACATACAAATGTCATTTATATAGATCCTTCTGAAACAGGAGGTAAACAGGTCAACAAAGCTCTTTCACATGTAGGCTTGTCTGACCTCAAAGTAATGAAGACGAAAGAGAATCATACTTCCTACCTAACCTTCGGTAAGCTGTTAGTAGAAGCAGAATGTATGTATGTGGCTTTCAATGAAATTATAAGCTAAAATTTAGAATTAAAAGAAGGTGCTCTTCTGGAAAGCTTTGGCTATACTTCTAAATGTTCACAGTCAATTGTTTTATATCTACATAGTTTTTGTTGCCAATGGTTTGCTAGTTGATCATCTTCTGATCGTAGAAGGGCGTAAAGTTTTATTAGTTTCTTAAAAGGACCACCCTTTTTACAACTATATGGAAATGACTTAACATATAATACTAAGGAGGCAGTATAATTACTATCGAGGTCGGCATAAATTACGGCCCTTAGAAACGTGAAATAAAATCCTTATCCCTAATGTCTATTTGTCAATAACCCGTAAACACTTTTAAGACGTGAGCAACTAATGATGTTCAGAGTAGATTCGTCTCTCTATTTACTTACCGAATTAAGTCGATGCTGGTGTGGAAAAACGCTTTAGGAAAAAACGTTAGATGTATTTGTACGCAGAAGATCCTACGCAGCTGTCAGAAGCTTAGTTCTCAGTTGGCATCGCACGGAATCGAGTTTCGGACGATTCAGAGCGCATTGAATCTTATTCAGACCTATGTTTATTCAACGGACACTAAGTCGACGTAGGCGCGTCCTGCTCGGAATCTCTCAAGCTGCGTTACGAATATTCGTTTGGACCTATTTAAGCGAATAAATCCACCCACAAGTCAATTGTCTGAACCAACTGTTTAAGCGATCTCAGGAAAGTAAAAGCATGTCAGACATCGCGTGGCTCCGTGCGTATTTAGGTTTAGTCATTACCCTTTATAATTTAGCTTTCAAGTAATTATTGCTTTTTTAGCAGGCCAGTGACTAGAAACATAGGCTCAATGTGCTGGCTCAAACGGAAATACAGGACCTACCCTGTCAGAAAACAAACCGTATAATATATACTCCGCTGTGTCTTTACGTAGCTGTAAGTTGTTGTACCGTTCAGACAAATCAATAAATCAGATATTCTCTTTTCTACTAGTTGAGCCGAAACGAGATGGTGGTCCAGAAGAACACGACAGTGGTTAATTCTTTGCAAGCAATCAATACACTGTTCAAACGGAATAGGGCCACCCCGCACATGTCCCCACGATCAGAAAAAAGAAAATCTCAGCAGATGTCAATGAATCAGAATTTTACTAACATTTAGCAAATAACGGGTTTTCTGCTACATTAGTAAGAATTTTGCTTTAGTTTTAGTATCTCATATTAAGTTATTGAAGTTATGATACCCCCCTTCCGTTACAAAGGAACATCCGGCGAGCGTGGACAGAGTAAGGCTTAGTAATTATTTGCTTTTAGACTTCTATTTACTGGATGAAAGCGTTCTCTATTTAGTGCCAGTTTACCCACTATATTGTCCGTCGTGTAATTGTTAGCTACATAAATCGCACGACGTCGGGTTTGGCTTTGTGTTTATTTATTAAATAGGCGGTCGGGAGTGAATTGCCAACAAATTCATTGACAGACGCAATATACGGTCATCAGCTACATCCCTGTCCTTAATAAAAGCGATACAACATTTCAACCAGGAAGACTTAGTTTTAACTGAAGTCTATTTATTTCCCCGTTGTATGGTTCAATTGGAATTTTGCGATCGTGTTAACGTTGCCCTCGATTATTTCCAGAGGGAAACGATAGAAAATTCAGTTGATTGAGTTTGTGTTTTTTAGCGACATAGCTAGCACAGGGTACTCTACTTGCTATTGTTATTGAACTTCTGTTGTTGTGCTGCCATCCGACTTCACCACGTAGCTTCTTTCCCCACGCAATCGTCTAGCTGCTTCTGTTCGGCAAACGATGCTTTCAATACTGTGACCAAAAGGTGCTGCGAAATATTCACGAAGCCTTAACAAACCCTATTTTGATTTCACTACCCAGATGAAACCTCAAATTCATATATACATATATATAACGTATGGAGAGCCGATGAACAGTCCAAGTCTAACCAATAACATAGGCTGCGATTGTTACATTTGAGCATCTAGATTAGCAGCTAAGAGCTTCTTGTCGTCACGACTTTTCATAATAGTTCCTTGAAGAGTTAGGTTCATTCAATTCATGTCGAAGTCTCCAACATGAAATAGCAATGGGTCTATATGGGCGAGGGGCAAAACACACTAACACAACCGATGCTCGCCTCACGTTGGAGGGAAGGCTTCAGTACGCGGCTCTAATCAGGGCAAATGTCATAAGATAGGCTAAGCGATTGTTCGGTCAGCGACTTCTTACCCAATATCCCACCGAACTTTTTGATCACTTTTATGGATAGCCTTATGTATGGATAGAATGTTATATATACACAGCTTGAGACAAGCTTGACGGTCATTTTAGCGATATGATGTTTAGTGACTTGGAGCGTAGTGGAATTTAACTTAGGTTACTTGGCTTTACCAATTATAGTCGTCAAATATGTGCATTAAGGAGAGTAATCGTACATGGTTTCCCACATATTTCGTGTGAAGTAAGTCACCTTTCAACCCCAAATTCTTACATGATACTTATTGGGGCTAACAACGCACGTTATATTGTATTATTTATTATAAAATATGGGAATAATAGTTTCGCCTAAACCTTTTATGGGGAATTAATTAAATTACCATCTCTTCTCATACGTAAGACAAATACCACGACCTTATTTAAGTACAACACCACAAGAGATATCGTTTTCGCTGCGATGTCATTCTCCTCGGACGAAACCTTCACTAAAATCGTAACCGCCGTGTGCAAAGATTTTGTCGGGACAGGTCGATCTCCCCATGACCGTCGCCACGGTATCAGGCAGAGACCACATTCACTGAGACGACAGAAATAGTAGGAAGGGCTTGAAACGGAGAAGAAGCTGACATTAAGTCGGTACAAAGCTGAAAAACGGATCCAGCTTAATAATCAAACTTATTTTGTAATGAACTTACTCTGTATTGTGGCCGCAAATATACGTCCGAATAAACTGTCTCTAGTTTGGCAGCTAAAAATCATACAAGATAGATTCAAAACTAAACGGTGTATGCAAGCTTGAGTCGATGATTCGTATGTCTTCATTACGTTCATCTTCATTTATATGTCTTCAATTGTGGATAATTAGAGCTAGGGCTCTGCTTTTTGAAAAATTATCTCTCATTTACCGCCGATCATTAAATGATTGAAATTGATTTAGCATGTTTCGGTATAACTTTACTTATTAACACTATCAGCACGGAAGCTCTATCTGCTCTACAGATGGTATCTGCTTCAAACGGCACATATAGACCGGAAAATGAACAATAATTTTGTTAACATTTGTTATATTAGGATAAACTAGTTCGGAGTTTTTGGGTTTTGCGTCGGAAAAGAGTGTTTTATGGAACTTACTTTAATTTGAAAAATCACGCGTCGCAAGTTGGGTCCAACTAAGACGTCCAGCTCTTTACTTAGTAACTGCTTATTACAAAGGTATTCTGTATAAACCAGAATTTAATCGTAGCATAATAAAAATATATGATTCCATTCCTTCTTGCATTAATTTTGAATAGCTTTGGCAACTTTAGTAGACTTTTTTCATAGAGGTGCTAGATTTTAACTTATTAATGTAAAACATTCTCACACAATATTTTTTCTGAAGAGGTGCAAACGAAAAACAACTTATATTAGAAACAGTCTAAATCTGAACGTATGTAAACATACGTTCTTTGCACGCGGAATATCCTAGTTGTTAATTGTCTTTTTTTAGCCTACTTTTTCGTCGTCATATGTACGTTTCTCATGACTGAAGGTCTGAACTAATGGATAATAGCGTCTGTGTTTATTCGTTCCTTTTAGATATATTCAACCGCGACCAACAGTTATAAAGTTGCCTTATAATCCATTAGCGATAATCACAAGTTCTTCAGGTGTTTCGTTGTGAATTGAGGCCCTTCAATTTTCAGATCAAGTTGAAGTTACGACTGATACGCAATTAACGTGCTGCTGCTGCTGCCAATGAGGAAATACCTCTCGAACAGATACTGGAGGTACGCGCTAATTCTTCTCAACTTCTGTCCACAATGAATCCCTTTCGTACCTTAATCTAAGGTATCTGTCTCTTTACACCTTTATAGCATGTAATTCTAACTAGCATAGTGGTAAAAAATACGTTGACCTCAATAATCCACGCTAGACGCCTCTCAGACACTATCTATACATGACGGTCTTTATCTAGACAGTGATAATGTAGGAATAATAATAGACAATATCTGACAAGTTTGAGACATTTCTTACTCTGAGTGTTTTCTTTGAAAATCGATAAAGTTATGAATCAATACTAACGCAGGACGATGCAGTAGACGTCTAGCAGAAGTATCAGCAATAAGAGGCTTTGATCGCCGACCGTCGCGAACTAAGTTGTTATCCGAGCCTTGGCATTGAAGTTACTCAACACGAACTTATGCAGGTATGGCGGACCCGATGTTCATTGTAAAGGTACAATAGTAAATACACAGGTGACATCAATGTGCTAATTGGGTCAGCGATTTTATTACAAATGCTTGAGCATACTGGCTGTATTAGGCCGGGCTAGCTTCGTTAACCCGATTACCATAGCTTGCCGTAACCGAAGCCATATCCCCCGTATCCATGGCTAAGACCGAGCCCGTGACCTGCGCCGTAGCCGTAGCCCGCTCCGTAGCCGTAACCCGCACCGTAGCCGTAACCGCCTCCGTAGCCGCCGTAGCCGAGGCCTCCGTAACCGCGGTACAGGCCATAGCCGCCGCTTCCGAGGTATCCGGCGAAGCTAACAGCCACGAGGGCGGCGAGAACAATCAAGGCAGCCTAAAATATATGAAATACGTATTAGATTATGAACCTGAAAATAAAACAGCTAATTACAGAACGATGCGTCACCGCTAATGGGGCTTCTCTGTTTGTGAACGTGGTATAGTAAAAAAAAATTGCGTGCAATACTCACGCTGAAGTGCATGTTGAAGTCAACGAGGAGTTGTGATTGGAATCTGATCGAGTATATCCCTTTTATACACAAAGTGGGAGTGTCCCTTCCAGAAACGGGTATCCTCTCCTAAACATTGAATGCACATGTAGGAATATCAAGTTAGATTGTAAAGAAATGTCGTATTTTCTGTTAAAATTGATAGCTATAGCGTACATCAACTGGTCTTGACGAAACACGGCATAAGATAATGATTCATACCGCTGGAAACGAAGTAATTATTTATGATGATATTTTAACCAACTATAGTCTGCCCCGTTTAGCCAGTCTATCTGCATACGATACAAATACGTACGTAACATGAAATGTAACAAACTCACAACTTGTCTCGTAAATTTTGGAAAAATGCTTCATATAAGACACGAGGAATTTAACCTTTCCCGGTTGTTTGATGAAATTTTTGAAGGTAGAAGTAAATATGTGGATGAAACATTTATTTGGGTATATATTTGTATATACCTATCGAAATAATGCGATATTTAACCCGACAGAAACGTTATCAGCTTTCAATATATTTCACACGTTTCAACCAGTTATCGATGTGATCTTAAGTATGTGGGCAAGTACTTCACGCCAATTACAGTTATGTGCCAAGCAGAGTGAAGGTACGCTCGAGCTTTGCTTGACTAGAAAATTAGAGATTTTTCTGGCAATCGTAAATAGTTCCATTTCGCAAAGAGTAAGAATAGACTGTAAACAGGCCTATATGCATCCTCGTTAAAATATGATCGAGCATATATTAGTGACCATTTACTCCGTTAGTATTTGTTTGTCTGGATTTGCCTTCAAGCTGCTGTTGAAGTCCAGTACAGGTTTGGAGCTTCCGTTCGGTGATTCGATTCCAATCAACGCATATATCAGGAAGTCCGTAAATACGCCAAGTTATAGTTGATCAATGCATTAAGTCTGGTGAAAGTTAACCTGTCGCAAGATGCAGCCGTTCTGATAGGTTGTCGGGCGCAAACCATCATGAAGGAAGTAAATAGAAGAGTGCTTAATATAATACGCCGTAATCAGCACAAAATTATTTCAGACTCGCAATTTTGCACTAAATTTGTCACACACGGCACTTATGTACAATAGGACATCTTTTAGCCTAGATCATAACCAGCTAACTGCAAAAGTTTCGTGGGAAGATGAAACATTTATCTTGTGATTTGCAACTGGCAGAAAGAGATCTGTGAGCCATATGATCATGGTTTAAGTTCAAACAACTCATCTGCATCGTACAAGATACTGTCTATCACGTACCACGCACCTGTCGTGCTTTTGTCTTTGGTCGGACAACACTGGCTCTATCGAGCTTCAATTACGGATTAACAAATTAACCCGTACTGGCGTGACGAAATTAGCAAAAAAAAAAAAACGCATGCTTACTCGAACAACTTTAAGTTAATGTTTCTTCTGGATGGAACGTAAACCTTTCCTTTAGAAAGCGATCCGTCGGCTTCTCTTTGACTCTGTCACGTATTGTCCGCAGTTTATCCAACGCGATTTTGTCTTCTAGACCTACTTTTTCGGTTTGCTAGCATTGAACTTAAGGCTAACGGCTCCCTTCGTTTCACATTGTATGACTTCTATCAAATCCTGTTTATCCTCTAACGTTTAGTTCTTCTGTCGGGTAAGGCTGTTGCACGCTAATCCACGAATACTCAAACACTATTCATCGCAATATTGCACCTATATATATAAATAGTGTGTGTGTGTGTGCGCATATACAAACAAACAAAGCCATCATCCGCTGAAGTAATTTTTCTATTTTTTTATGGCTTAATCTACAATTTATTGAAACGAGCTAATATAAAGGTATCCAAGCTAGCGAAAAGCTATTGAAGAAGATAAAGGCGAAAATTTAATAGGGACTTAGTTGCCTGCCTGCAATTCTTTTTTGTTTGTATGCATTAAATGAACTTCAGCCTCAACTACATTGAAACCTTTCCAAAAAGCCACGAAAAACGGCTCTAATTGTTCAAGTGGATAAATACTATATATATATATATATAGACCTTGTACCTCTACGTTATCTCCGTTAGATCTCATTGTGACAATCTGCATCGCGTTAGACAAACCCTAAGATAGGTGGTGCGCCGACCGTATTGCGGCACGAAACGTGTAGGCGAAAATGTCTGCTAATCTAATATGTATAAAAATAACGCAGAACATTATTATTAGGATCATACACAGGCACTGCAGCTGGAAGATGAATTGTGGACCAAGCGGAAGACTGGCTTTTGTTATGCGTTTGGTGCGTACACCATATTGAATTTTATTTTTGACAAAATTTCCGGTTTGAGAGGAGTTACGCTCACGTAAGATCACCCAGCGGCGCATGCTGCTATACACGAGTACTGGGCATTCTTTACTGCACAAATGGCTAGGTAAAGCTGACGAAGTCGAGATATCATCCAGACAAAAATTAGATCGTTGACTAAAGGATTGCAGACCAGCGTTACGTACGTACTGTTAAATTAGGTTGATAACTGATGTAAAGTATTTCACAAAGAAAAACGGGGGAACGCAATGTATCGAATCATAAAGGGTAGAGAAACGACAAGCTGGCAATATAGATCCATAGATACAGTTATTGGTGAGCAAGCGAATTACGTACGATGGTACAATGAGAAATGGAAATAGTAGTATTTAAAAAAATTACCATTAAGACTGGTAACTTCTTCTATCGTTGTCTACGGTAGTGATAGCGCTGTTATCGTCAATTAGCGTCATAGCGGCGGATGCTTTTACTTGTGGCGGCAAGGCGATGTCTGCGCACCGACGGAAGAAAGCAGATCACTCTGTTGATGCAAGGTTAACGGGCTTGTTATGCAGCGTAGCGAAACGTTTGGCAAGTACCCAATGTATGACAAGACATCCATGTCAAATGCGCACCCTGCCGTACCCCCGTTGCCACTAGCTAGCTTTCTCGCTGACAGAGTTAATAATTAAGCGATGTACCTGCTTCGATCGCTTCTATGGCTGACAAACGACTATTTATTAAGTGGCTTTGTCTTGTATAGCAGTTCTAGTACATTGTACTCTCGCTTACAGAATAGTGTTAAGCCGACATTCTAACTGTGCAGTCTGCCCCTACAGCAGCGACTGCACAACTTCTAACGGACGACTATCAGGCCTTCACCGTACAGATTACATATAGTTAACGCCCTCCCTCTTTGTTTGTTGTCACCATAGTTACCTACGTTTCTTCGTACAGCAAGGGGCAAGATGGCAATCGTGCCGAACGACTGCCCCGACCTTGACAGCACTGCGGGTTCGGCGGAGCGTATGCTTGCTCCTGAGTAGCGGCCGCAGTGGGCAGTGAACGGTGGCAGAAGCTCTAAAGCGACTCGCCTCTGAAATACTATCAGCAGGGCTGCGGCGATCGCCGTCTCACTAAACGTATAAAAGGGTGACGTAGGCAATAGTTAGTCAACGAAAAATTTCAGGAATCTACAACATGAACTTCACGGTAAGCAACTATGAGGACTTCCTCCAATTAGAAATCTTCCCTGAAGAGTAATCGTTAGTGTCTGTAAACGCTCAAAAGATATGGCGCAAACTCACTAATTTAGCTGTTGTTCTCTTGTCGGTCTTCTACTGTTATCTGTTATGTAGGCTGCTCTGATCGTTCTCGCCGCCCTCGTGGCTGTGACCTTCGCCGGATACCTCGGAGGCGGTGGCTATGGCTTGCACCGCGGTTACGGAGGCCTTGGCTACGGAGGTGGTTACGGCCACGGAGGTGGTTACGGCTACGGAGGCGGTTACGGCTACGGAGGCGGTTACGGGCACGGTATTGGATATGGAGGAATTGGTCTCGGCTACGGCAAGAAATGGTAGAGAAAATCATTGAACAAGAAATAAATTACCATACGAAATAAATTAGGTGTCAGCGTCTATTCGACTTGTCTTCCTTCTATCTAGGAATCAAAAAGAGGTTATCCACTTGTTTCGCCTGTAGCTGTCGTCTTAGGAAACTATTCGATCAAGACAAAGCTAGAAGATATATGCGAACCCACAGATCTCGAACAATAAATCAGTTAGGGTACTTGTGTCACTAACCTCCATGAGCAGGTCGAGGTACGTGCGCAAGGTTTATTATAGACAGATGGAAAATCTAATTGGCTTCTTTTAATAAGTCTGAGTTTAGGGTGTCGCAAACATCACGAAAGCTATCGTACACCCAGAAGATAACATAGTTAGGTGTTTAAGAAACAACTTCACCTGCAGAGTGTAGTATTTTTCCTTCAATTAACAAGGCTACACTTGATAATATAATTATATTTGCTCACGTTAACTATCACAATGTACTGTTCAATTTACAACCAATAATATCTATATAAATACGACTACTGATTTTGGTGCAAAGCAGTACTTCGACAGATAAAGGCACAAAGTAATCCTTGAGGCAAACTCCTCATATCCAGAATACAATGCTACGAGTTATAAATAACTATCCTTTTTATACGTTTTATCATAGATAATAAGTTAAAAGCAATAATTGTCAGTTCACGTGGGCCCTATAAGATTTATAAAGCGATAGTTTATCATCAAGTCATTAGTCCTAAAGGCACGAATAGCGTTGTATAAATTAGTATATTCCGGAGACGGTATCGAGGACCGTGTTTTACGGTCGCTATTCATCAGGCTCCGGAAAACAATTAACAAAAAATCGGCTCAAAGTGTATCGGTTACAAATAAAATCTGTTTTAATGGTTACTAATGCTGTCTGGAACGCTTGAGTATTTTTTCTGTCGAGGGTCGATTTAGAAAGCAGGCGAGACTGCTTTTTATGCTTCATCACGGCACTTTACCTCAGTCCGAGCGTCAGATTTGTGCCCATTAACGCCCTAACTATGTCAACCGCGTTAATGATCGGAATCGAAGAAACAAGTTGTTTTTTTTAACAGTCACTTACGTCGTGTGCGAGCCAAGCTGTATGGTTTGCAAATGCCTATTGATGTGTATAATGAACCATCCTGTTTTGTGTCGAAATTCAGTTTGAGACGAGAATTATGGAATTACTGTAACCAGCGCAATACAGATTCGTTAGTAGGTTAATTCGACTTGGCCTTCTTTTTTTTTTTGTTTTGTTTGCAATCAGCATGCAAATTATCCACCCGCCGGCTTTTTACAAATTTTATTTAAGGGCCGTCATGAATGTTTATAAGCACATTTTCATAGTTTTTATTTGTCATTTCAAGAATATTATTCGAATGCCTAACTGGATTAGGGTATGTTTTTTTAAGGATATTGCAAAGACAAGCAAACAGATAGGACATATTAAAGGGGCTGCCGCTGTGGACAAATACATCTGGATGCACTATGAATTTTGGTATGGTATTGCCGCATGGTTTGAAGCTGAAAACTAAAGCGCAGGTTTCTAGAAAGGGGATATCAAGCAAGATCACGTTGTCCAGTATCCAGGGTCCTCCCAAAGTGTTGCATACGTGTGGATAGTCTGCCGGACATGTCATGTCGGACCATGAGCCATTCTATCAGAGCAGGCCTTTTCAAATACACGAGTGTAAGATAGCCAAATACAAATTCCTATGAGTTTATCAATACCGGCATACAGAGGAAACATAGGATGATAGCTTTCTCCAGTAGAGATTCTTTTAGAACTGAATAAATAGAGGCCAGCTCTAGTTGACAGACACAGACTATAACTTATGCTCTACAGTTTCAAATTATATGGGGCGGTTCCCCGAACCATTACGATTAATATATATATATATATATATATAGCCCTTTCCGACTAAAATAGCTTATAGGACAGAAGAAAATATGTGTGTTGTTAAAGTAATGTAAAAAACCTACACGTGCTGAAATGTATCATTATTGTCTAATCTATTTTCAAATCGGCTAGAATTTGTTAGGGAGACGGCCGACTTGAGGTCGAAAACACGACTATGAATGAGCTAAGGGCATCGTACTTCCCGACAACCTTTCGAGACGCTGTTAGCATTAAGGACACGTTCAGCCTGTGCAAAGCAGATTCTTCTAGGGGAAGCGTATTCTTCTCAAGTGGTTACTGAAAAAAGACATTTTCCAATACTCTTCTGCTGTATGTCCAGGACCCGAATTCCCATTAGGCAAAAAGCATGTTCTGCACGGCGTTTGGCAAACGTTAGCACTGATGCCGTCATCATTCTGCTTCACATCGTGGGTTGCACGACGAACCTGTCGTGCAAATTTATAACAGAAAGGAACGTTCATCGCGAGCAAAATCGTTTTCGGTTGGCCTCAATTTTTCAAACTGACATAAAACGTACGGGAGTAGTTAAGCTCATAGATTGGTTTCATCGAAACTCGGAACAATGCTATGAATAGGAAATCCATAGAATAATCCCAATATCTAAAAAAAAAACCTTACAATATTGTCATAAATCACGTGGCAAATCGTTAAGGTCAAATATAAGAACGCTCGCGTCCATGTTTCTTCGTTCGTGTTTACTCTATAGGTAGCGCTGCGTTCGGTGTCTACAATGATTTGCTTGATGTACGAGACAGTTTACTGGTATTGATTGGCCCAATATTGAATTACTTTCTCGCTGTCCAACGTGTCGAGGCATTTGTAAATGGTAATGTAAACCTTATTCGTAAACGAACGTAAAATTGCTTTTACCTTAGTTGTTCGAACGTTTGTCCAGTGTGTTCATAGAATGTTACATGTACTGAATACAGGCAGCTCTATACTTACACAGGTTGGGTATTATGTATATCATTGGGTTATATGTAGTTTTAACAAACACATAGTTTGGTATTGCCAAAAGCCATGTTTAGGATCGATTAACTACTATTTTAGATGTGGCCTTCACCTGTTCTACAGCGTGTAGCAAAAACGAGGTATTGGGTTCGAGCCTTAACCAGTTATCAAACGATTTGAGCTTTCAGTGCCAACTAACTGGGCAGTCACATTTGAGCAGCATAAATTCCCTTATTCTGTTTACTATTCTTAATACAGTTCCGGCCGTATAACAAACCTGCGAGAGACACACTATGAGTAATACTGAACCCGCTGTCGATTAACGCATATGGGCCTTTGACTGGATAGCACTTTACGGAACCGGTCGTCTCGTATACGAGATATTGTTTGCGTTGCAACTGTCTAACATAGAGCTATATAAGTGTTAGTAAACCAATAAATAGGTTTTTTTCGCAAGTTAGAAGCCAGAAAGTTTAGTGCTTTCGTCAAGTCCTTGACGTATATACGACTAGAGGGACAGTGAAGGTATACAAACTTTTATGTGAATCGTACCTCTAATATTTGTTTTTATTTTTATTTAAAAACCGATTTAAAAAATCGAAGGCGTTGCGGCCACTGACCGAGATGCTTTGTCATAGGACAGCGATGCTATGAGCCAGCTGAACGTTCCCGTGCAGTTTCATTGTTGTTTATAATGGTTCTTTCGTACATTCATAACTGAGCAGTTTAATTTTGGCTCTTTAATATGGTCTGAGTAGAGCATGTTGGCTATCTCCCTCGTATTACACTGCTTCCTTCTATTTCCTCCTATAACAATAGTTAAGTTAATCTCATAGAGAAAAGCTATAGATAGGGCCCATATTGGCATCACACGTGTACAGCGGGGTTGTAGAAACCGGTTGGCTAGCTCTCGTTCCAACAGCTTCTTGTATGCATTCTAGGAGATAGCTTCGTCAACCGTCGCGTATGACATCGAGGACCAACTATGCATCTCCTCGTTGCAGGACGTGCGTAGTTCCATCCGTTCATGCCTGTAGCAGGCTGTAAGATCCTGTGGACAGGGTCAACGTCAACAAGTGTGTGAGATTGTTTTCTATTCTTTATGGCCATAGGTCAAGTGCCAGAAGCGAGTGCTTTGTTTTTTTTCCTTATACTTGCGTTACGTCTCGCAGAGGAGCGTTTCTTTGCTATCTGGGCGATCGTACAGGTTTCCTGTCATTTACCACTGTAAGTGGCACGTATGACATTCAGAGTGGTTCCGCCCAGTCGGGCATTCCTTGGTCGGCTGCTTAAACCGGTCTGTTTCTGATTAACCAAATTGGCTCCCCAGGGCTTACCACAAAGTTACCGGCTCTACTGAGACGTTGTAAAGCTTCGGCTAACTTTTCAGTAACTAGTGACTCCTTTTAGAGGATGTTCGAGTTCGCAGCAGTGGAGCGCTTTCGACTTCTACTTTTGCAGTTCTAAACTTGGAATGGCCGCGGCTAAGTTGCTCATTGTTTGCTCCATGTCAACTTCTGCGGTGGATAGGAACCTAATTGTAGTCAAATGCGTATTTTCAGCCGAAGTTACATAGGTCCACACCCTCGAGGAGTTTTCTTGTTTTTTTTTTTTATTATTACTATTGAGAAAGGTTACATCATATTTTTGACCCATGGCGACTGAATTTTTTTTTATTTTACCCATTTATTTATTATAATCACCCAAGAAGTAATAACAGGACTTATTGCTGCATATTCAGCCACATTTGTTAAGCAAAAAGTTTTAATCCTTTTTACTGCACTACTGTATGACTTAATTGTCTCGTAAAGATACAGATGCACAATCACGCAGGCTATTGTGTTTCAGTATTCTTTTGTTGGGTAGCAACCAACTTCGGCCTGACGCCAATATGACCTGGTAGCAATGTCTTCCCCAGAGACGTGCGGAATATGTTAGTTTTTGGCACAAAATTAAAACGATTCAACGTGTTTCTACATTTTCATAATTCGGGTACACAAAAACGGACTCGTGTCCGCATCTGCAACCAGAATAACTTTCAAATAATCTCATACTACTTTGCCATACGGCCGACAAGAACAATACAGCCGATAAATAGTTTCGTGGTTCAAACCTGGTACGATACCTTTTCGAGAATCTTATTTTCTCGTGACAAATAACTTCCTTCATCAGTAGTATAGTAGAATATGT